CCCCAATTTGATTGAGATATTACTGAGAGTAATTGGAAGGCAAATCAATACATAACAACCGTGTGTGTGTGTGTGTGTGTTGTTGGTGTGTTGTGTGGGCGCGTGTGTGTGTGTGTGTGTGTGTGTGTGTGTGTGTGTGTGTGTGTGTGTGTGTGTGTGTGGCAGGGGGTGGGGGTCTGACTTGTGATCCCAGCCATCAGGATCAGGCATATTCCATCCACCCCCTTACACCCCAGTTAGACGATTGGTTTTCGACTGAGAAAAGTTCGTCCGCAATCGATGCCCCGTTGACGCATAGTTGGCATCGAGTATCAAAATACTTCCACACGCCATTCCAATAAGTAACACTTGGCCGAGTAGAAAACAAATTGTAACCATTTGAGTGCATGTGCATGCGACAAATGAATTTATTGGTGGCATAATCATCATACACTGCAAGCGTGTTGGCGTTAAGTCAACACTTGGGTGTTAATTTTGACACTGGGAAAGTGTCAGTGTGAACATAAAATTGACTAAAGTACATCAACAATATATAGTGTTGACAGTGCAGTCATAATGACACTAGTGAATTGCTTCAACAAAATGGATGAATAAAACACATTACAAAACACCACAGCTCTCCTTTTTTCGGAGCTGCAACAAAAACTTATTTATAAAGCAGTGACACAGTTCACTGAACCAACAGCAAGTTATAACATTGTAAGCATGTCTCCAGCAAGGAGCCATCTTGGGGTCGTAATGACCATAAACAAGGCGCACCGGATTTCAAGGCGCGCTGTGAGTTTTTAAGAAAATGAAAGACATTTCGGTGCGCCTTATAGTGAGTATATATATATATATATATAGACATGAGACAATGAGATTTTTATTTGAAGTTTAAGTTAAGGTGCTTCAAAGTTATTTTTGACACAACAAACAAAAAGTGAGATTTTCAGGCAAGGCAAGTGAGATTTATTTATCTTGCAAATTTCATACACAAGGCAATGTCAATGTGCTTCACACAAGCAAAGTCACCATAACAACATTCAAAAGCAAAGCAGAGAAAACAAAAGTAGTTCATAAAAATGACTAGAAAGTACATTGATAACATTTAAAAACATTGATAGAAAACTTTAAAGGTCAACTGTGAAGTAATTTTATAAAATCCTAAATGAAATATCAGTAATTAACCTTAATTCATTAAGTAAAGCATGAAAAAAAAAAACTATTTTGTAAATTTGCCAAAGGAGTCGTTTTCCCAAAGTGAGATCCTGACGAGCGATAAACCCTGAAGTGTAGTGTGACATAATTTTAAAACTACCAATAGCGGGGCTCTCTCTGGAAAGTGTACAAAGCCAGAGATCGATTCGGAAAACAAAGTTTCAAACTTATCTGAGGGGATCCAGGTGTTTGAAAAGTTGGAGGAAGAGGATGTTGTTGGAAAGATGTACACTGGGCCATACATGTACGAGCCAGATGCACAGGATGCAGAAAATGTTGTGCCCTAACAGCCGGACATGGAGTGGAGATGAGACCCGTTGGGATTGGAAGAACGTTAAACTATGTCGGCTGCGGTTAATAGCTTGGCATTATTGTTAGATATTCAATGCTGTGCCGTGCTGTAAATCGCCCATGATGGGATTACCTACTTGGTCCTTGTATTCCCACTGGCATTGAGAGCACACGTCATAGTGGGTTGGTGTCCTACATTGTCATTGCTAAGGTAGTTCTGTTGCGTTGTCAGCCATTCGTACATTACCTTGGCAGCATTGTTAGGTGCAAACCGTTATGGAGTATTCTATCCATGCTCACATATAGTTTGAATGTTTTCGTACATGATTTCATCCATGGACACAAATATTTTGAATCAAATGTTTTCATAAACAACAGCCAGAGTTATTCATTGATTATTCCACCTACTCTTTTTTGCAAATCCTTTACCGTAAGCAAAACCGTTGAGAAAACACCGGTTTTCGAAGTGTTTGGAACAAAGAATGCTCGTCCACAACCGTGTGAAATTCATTCGCTTTGTGAGAGCGAAACTGTATCGTTCCAAATTTCTGGTCCATTTACATGCCGGATCCTTTTCTTTTGGCCACTCAAACAATTGTTTGCCTGAATGTGAACAGTGCATAACCACACAGTGCCAATGCATTTCGCGGACCAATTCGATAACAATGGCAAGGAGCAGTGAGTGACAATCAACAATGCAGTACAATAGTTGACTGGCGACTCGGCATTCTGTAAATGACATCACTCGCCGCAGATTGCCGTAAAAAAGCATTTTCGTTGTTAAGCACATGCTATGGGTCTAACTTTGAACCTGGGTGGGGTGTGTTAAAAAGTAACGAAAGTATGCTTGAAGATATTTCAAACCCTTTAGAGATGGGGTCCCTAACCACCGGGTCATTTGGTGCCGGGCTGCACAGAAAGAACAAACAACTTACATTCCTTCCGTTTTATTCATTTTGGAATCTGAAAAATGTTTTATTTTGAAAAATTACGAGATTCTCTGTTATATCAGTCTACAATATGTGACTCTTGACGCAGGTGAATGCGCGCTTCTCGGTCACGTGATAGGTTACCGCTAAAATGAAACCCAGGAGCTAGCAAAATGAATAAAAAACAAACATCTTTGAAAAGTTTTTTTAGAAAGGGGAAAAGGCCCAGCCAGCAGACAGAAGGGGAGCCTACGACTTTCAAGAAAGAGAAGGCTACATTTAATAAACGGTATCAGGAGTCCTATTTCAAATACGGCTTTATTTCAATGGGAGATTCACACACACCAAGCCTACTCTGCATAATAAGCGGTGATGGTGAGTCGTATTTTTCATGCACTTTCTATTTGTGGCGTATCTTATTTTGAAGGCACGTTTAAACGTTACCGTAGCGACCAGAGAATGTTGCCGCCAGATAGGACATTCCTTGTGTCATGATTCGTGTTAATTATTGTGTTTCGAAAATAACACACTTTTCATGCAGGTCATGTCATATTATTTTGTTGTATCTATCCGGCCTGAAAGGCCGGTCTCTGAAAATATTGTCTGACATGAAACCGGACCGTGAGGCAAAAAAAGTTGGGGACCTCTGCTTTGGGGACCTTAATCAAAGGTCGATGAATAAAGCAAACTTTTCAACCTGGATTTAAAAGCCTTTACAGTCGGTGCTGACCTTCACTTCTGTTGATAGTTTATTCCTTTTGTGCGCAGCATAATGGCGAAATGCATCTTCCCCATGTTTACTTTGAACTCTCAAGTCCACTAAATCAAGGGTCCCCAACCGCAGGGCATTTGGTACCAGGCCGCACAGAAAGAACTTGCCTTATTTACGTTTTATTTATTTCGGAATACGAAAGATGTTTTATTTTGAAAAATTACCGGATTCTCTGTTACATCCGTCTGTGTCACACTTGACTCACGTCAAGCTACACTTCTCGGTCACGTGACCGATGACGCTCAAAAACAAAACGCTGAAGCCCGCAAAATGAGTAAAAAAGCTGCTTGGAGATCGCAAATGACGGCAGTCTTAAAAGTACGTTCGAAACAACTGGATCAAAGTTATGGCTGAATACTCTGAGATCGCCACAATAGCACTGTTGCTATTTCCGACATCCTACCTGTGTGAGGTGGGGAGTTTCTGCAGCAACAGTGACTAAAACAAAATTACGAAGTAGACTGGACATAAACCACACACTTGAGGTGTCATTGTCTCCTATTACCCCGAGATGGGACTGTCTGATTGCAGAAAATCAAGCTCGGGGCTGTGGTGAGTTGTCATTTTCATGCACTTTGAATTTGCGTTGTATCGTATTTTGAAGGCATTAAACATTACCATAGCGATCAGAGTGTTGCGACCAGATTAGACGCTCCTTGTGTTTATTATTATATTTCAAAAACACCACAGTTTTCACGCAGCTCATACCATATTATTTTGTTGTATTAATCCGCCACACCTGAAATGCCGGTCCCTGAAAATATTGTCTGACTTAAACCGGTCCGTGGGGCAAAAAAGGTTGGGGACCCCTGACATGAAACCGGACCGTGACTCAGGTCTGCAGATCTCAGAGCCCGGCTGAGTTTATATTCAATTAGGATTTCTTTCATGACAAACACCAACCAAGATCCAACCATTCAGTGATTTGTAGACCAGTCACATAATTTTCTAATCTCTTGCACAGCTAATTGCGAGCCAGTGTAACGTCTGTGGGACTGGAGTAACATGGTCTGATCTCTTTGTTGTGGTCAGAACCAGAGCTACAGCATTCTGAATGAGCTGAAGCTGTACTTTTTTGAGGGAGTCCAGTATGAAGACCGTTACAACATCCAAGTATGATAGAGGTAAACGCATGGGTAAGTTTGTCCTGGTCTGCTTGGAGCATGCCTCCCTTCAGTCTGGATGTTTTTTCCAGATGGTAAAATGCTATTTTCGTGATTGATTTTATATGATTGGTGAAATAGGTCTAAGTCTATCAGTGACCCGAGATTTTGGACTTGGTCTTTGGTTTCTAAAGCCAGTGACTTTAAATGTTTTCTAACAGCAATTCTCTTTTCTTCATTGCCAAAAGCAATTACCTCTGTTTTGTTTTGTTTTGTAAATGTGACTTTAATACAGAACAGTGTGAATGCATATAGACACTTTAAAAATTAAATTCAAATTAACACCCTCTGGTGTGAAATAGATACAGTACCAAGAAATTTGCAGTGGATGTGACCTTAGCTGGCCCCTTGTCACATACCCTGCTCTTTTTAATGCAGTTCATACCAGTTCAGAGAGGAAACCAGAAAAGTAAATAGATAAACAGATAACAGACAAAACAACCACTTTTTAAGGTATTTTATACACCTTAATCTACACATCAAAATAAAAATAGAAACTGAAAACAGCTATGAATACCTCCAAAGTAGATTCGGCAGATGGGGTTTGTGACATGGGAACTTGTAGTGATAGGTGTGGGATTAGCAGCAGGTGGGTCCAGGGGCTGGGTGGATCCGGCTCTCTGGAACAGTACTGGACAGTTTTTTTTTTTTTCCCCCCATCACTTTACTTTTTCTATATTACATATTTGTTTGAAATTGAACATTTGGTGTACAAATAATGACGCTGGTCAATCCACCAGGATAAAACGAGAGAAAATAAAAAGCACTTGCAAAAGGCAAGGAAAATATGGAAATTGTTTGTCTCCAAAGGACAAGAGAACCAAATCATGACAAACACCAACTAAAAATAACTTGCCAAACAAAATGACTATTGAGAGAAAACAGAGAGCAATAAACAAGGGATGAGAACAACGGGGGAAAATCTGGTCTGTCGAAAAAATTGCATGTGAACAATGGCTTGAGCAAGGCGAGTTATCCGACACGGAGTGGTCGGAATGACAGTCCTTAAAACGTTGCTTGATCATGATGTGAGATAGGTGTGCGCTGAAGGGAAACGCCCACCTTTCAGTTGGAATTCAAAAACAAAAACAGACAGAAGATGACAGTTCTTATACACCAGAAGGTATTTTCAAAAACTCAAACAGCCCAAATGAAGTCACCACAAACGTTTTGGGAATATCTGAGGGGTCCACCTTGGCGCCAACACGTCTGTTGAACAAAACGGGACTGTTAAAAATGCTGCTCATTAAAAGCACAAAAAACACCAGCACTCTGCTGCCATCAAGCGGCGGAAGTCAAATTGTACTGACATTTCCCCCATCGAGATCAGTTTTAGTGCAAACATGCTGCCAAAAAGGCGCAACCATGAAGCACCAATATTCTCCTTCGGTAAATGTCACACCCAAAACGCTGAAAATAGTCCACAATGGGTCTATGCAAAGGAAAAGAAATATCACGGCATGCAAATGGCAGAAAAAAAGGAAACAAAAACACAGAGCTCTTGAAGACGACTCCCAATTCAGGGTGTCATCGTTCATGTTTGTGTGATGTTGTGTTCTTTTAAATGGCATTTTATGAATCAGCAGATTCTGAAATGGAATTGTTTTGGAAATGAAACTAGGTCAGGACACGTAAGCAGGCGTGGCAAAACAAGTTTGAATGTCTCATGCCAAAAGTAAGTGGTGAGCAGTCTGAGCCAGAGAGGCCTACTTTGCTGTCTTAAACACGATCAGAAGCACATACCTACATTTACAAACTCAATTCTAATATCTGTTCCAAAAAAATGTCATTTATTCATTCTCAACATTCTATTCTCCTCATTTTGTAGCGATTTTCTTGACTGCAAAGGTTTTCGTACTGATATGTGGACGTTAGATTACTTTTTTTTTTTTTTTTCAGATTTCAGTCTCTGTGTGTTGCTAATTCAACATCTAATCTGCCCAAGGCAGATTAGATCTGCCTCGGGATAATATGACGTCAACTATATTAGCGTGTCTTTGTTTAAACAGAAGTCTTCTGATTGGTTGGCTCGAACAAGCCAAATTTGACTTGCGAAACACGCCCACAGCAATTTGCACACACTCATACATTTAATGAGTGTCCTTAGTGAGGATGATGCATTTCATTGTTTTGCTTTTATTGTTTTTGTCGCGTTATTAAATAAACATTGATTCTGAACTGCTTCAGATGATGTAGGTTTTCAGATTCGGCACAGTTGCATGCTGTTATACAATCTTTTTTTGTAGTATGGATGGTTTCTATGATTGCAATGGGATATTGGTGGGATTAAGTGGTGGGTTAAATCAAGCGAATCCCCAATGAAGGCCCAGGTATCAAATGCACAGCCACCAAGGCCGGAGCTACTGGTGGCCACCCCCACACCTAGGGAATTTATATGTATACAGTATAAAAATAGCCATCCATCCATCCATTTTCCGATCCGCTTTATCCTCACAAGGGTTGTGGGGCGTGCTGGAGACTATCCCAGATGTTTTTGGGCAGTAGGCGGGGGACACCCTGAACCGATTGCCATCTAATCACAGGGCAAACACAGATGAACAACCATCGGCACTCACACTCACACCGAGAGACAATTTAGACAGAGTGTTCCATTAACCTGCCATGCATGTTTTTGGAATGTGGGAGGAAACCGGAATACCTGAAGAACATGCAAATTCCACATTGGAAGGCTCAGCCCGGATTCATCTGCACTGTGAGGCCGACATGTTAACCAGTTGACTAATTTGATACATTTACAGCAAAAAAAGACCCCCCGCCCCTGCAATTTGCTCTATTATGACTGATCACTAGTTAGGTGTTAGTATGTCGCATTTCCGAGTAATTTCATTTTGCGTTCTGATTTTTCACTAATAAATATCACAAATTGCAAAAAAAAAAAATACACAATGACCAGTGTTGTGTGTCTGCATCTGTCTGTGTGTGTGGCAGTTGACTAATTTGATACATTTACAGCAAAAAAAGCCCCCCCGCCCCTGCAATTTGCTCTATTATGACTGATCACTAGTTAGGTGTTAGTATGTCGCATTTCCGAGTAATTTCATTTTGCGTTCTGATTTTTCACTAATAAATATCACAAATTGCAAAAAAAAAAAATACACAATGACCAGTGTTGTGTGTCTGCATCTGTCTGTGTGTGTGGTTTTTTTTTGTCCACGTTCATGTATGAGAGAAAACCGTGTTTGGAAAAACATTCGTTTTATCAAATGTCACTCACTCCTGTGCCCAAGTGGCAGCTAACGGCACTACAACCACAAAATGAAGAAATGCGAAGTGAAATTAAGCTCTCTATGAAGTGCTCGTCACCATTAATTGCCCCTCGGGGACAAATTAAAATCCTGCAAAGTAGCTGTAGTGACATTCCTTCATCAAGAAAAGCTATGCATTAGATTAGTTGTCTGTGTAAAAGAAGGGATATACTGTATTTGAGTAAAACGTTACTTTTAAATGCGATACCGGCATCACTGTCCAACACCTGTTGGGCTGTTAAACTGAAGATAAAAGTGGCCCATAAGGAAAATCTAATAATTTCTGCCACACCTTGCATTGGTGGCTTTTATCTCCACAAGAAACACCAGCAAAATATTTGCTGATGCCAACTTTGACATCAAGCATGACGGTGGTTGCAACTTTTAGTGCATATTTGGGCTCATGACCCAGATCTGTTTTGGTCAGTTCAACAAATCCACGTCCAGATGAGCAAGATAGAAATTATCCACCGCATTATTAATGAGGTTTGGAGTATGGTGAAAAGAAACTACCACAACTGGTCTTCTTCTCTTGCTAGTCTGCGCAATTAGAATCCATCAAGAAATTCATTACCGCAGCCACCCGCCGCGTTACCGCATTTATGCATAATTAGGTTGGTGCCTTTTTTTAGCGTGTGTATTTACATGTGTGCTTGTTCTCGCCTCCCGTTGACACCCCGTCTTTCTTACGGTCTAATTTTGTCCCTGTGCAGCTGTGTCAGACTTCGGAGCGTCTGGAAGGCTCCCAATTAGTCAGACGCATTACATTACTACCACTGTGGCACCTGCTACTTGGCAGGTGATACGTCACCGCATGGACCATGATCTGTACTTGTTTAAAAAACAAAAAACGGCATTTTCTCTGTGCACTAGGATGATTGGCAGCTATACAATTATACGCACAGATCTGGTTGTGCTCATGTGTCCAACAATTACCATAAATGCGCATGCGTGCATGTGTGTGTGTGTGTGTGTGTGTGTGTGTGTGTGTGTGTGTGTGTGTGTGTGTGTCTGTGTGTGTGTGTGTGTGTGTACTCACAGTCATGTTTGATTCATGATGCTTTGTCATTGTATCTACTGTGTGACTCATAAACGTCTGGCAGCCAAACACTCCCACCTATAGTTTGGAATAATTGAACAAGGCCTCCCCTTGTGAATTCGGAATACAAAAACAAAACAGTGATCTACACTTGAATCCATCTGCATATATTTCACGTATTTCAAAAGGGAAAGGTTGACAAAAAGCGCAAATTGAAAATTAGATGTGTTAATGAGTAAGAGTTGGCACAGCAATTTTGTTCTTTCGACTTGGAATTAATCAGGACACATTGTGATCACGCTCAAGTGAGGGGATAAACCAAACCCAAGCGTTTTTGATGAAAAATGGGGGCCTAAGGTTGAAATGCACGGCCTGCCACTGTATATATATATATATATATATATATATATATATATACTGTAGATAGATAGATATGAATGCAGTATTCTTATATTGAAATATTCTTATTATTCTCATATTTAACAAACAAATATACAATTGATCAGAATGCATCACTTATAAGATTGTCTTACGTAAGATTTGGTTTGTGCAGTCAATATCAATCAAAATCATATTCACAATCTGTGACAGCAGCGTATGTGAGAGGACAAAAAAACTATTGTGTGATGATGCGCAGTTCATCAATTGAAGATAAGTTATATGGGAATTAGGGCCTATTATAATGAATAAATAACCAGATTGGCTTGGAATAGGCCATGCAGGAGTGGCCCCAAATTTCCCAATTGTCACCCCACTCCTGCGTCTGATAAAATTACTATTAATAACACAACACAATCAAACATCTAATTTACATGTTCAGGTATCTTTTTATTTACAGTAGTCTTTTTGTAAGTAACTGGTGGAGGACATACAAAAGCACACCAAAACTGCAGTTGTGCAGTTGACCCCCCCACCCCCACCCCCCCCACACACACACTATGCCATTATTTCTTGTTTTTAAGACAGTGTCTTGTTCACTAATATACACTTTCCATGAACAAGGTGGCAATTCACCAAAGAATGTCTTGACTGTTTACTTGTAATCAGCGTGGGTCTCCAACCATTTTTTAAGTCTCCCATCTAGAAACAGATGGGAGACACTATTTCAAAAACTTCCGGGGCTATTAAATTCTAACCTAGAGGATGTCAACCTCCCTTAAAGGTGCGTGCATAAATGTCACACATGCAGCACTCAAGTTCTCCAAGTCCTTACATATTTCAACAAACTCCTGTTCTTGTGTCACAGAGTGTGACTTTTCGACATTTTTGTGAAAGAGGGGGAAGTACTGAAAATGTATTAATTTTAAATTGCTTGATGTAAAATGACAGCTTTGCTTGTCAGGCCTGAATCCTAACCAGTTCCATCTGTCAGTACGGCAAGATCTCGTAGTCTTTTAGGATCTCACACAGCAGGGTGTTATTTTCCACAGCTATTGTTCGTCTGCATATTGCTGTATTTTTATTTCTTCTTTTATATTTTATATGAAGCTATTTTAGAACTTGGTGGCACTTGAGCTTGTTTTATTGACAGTTTATTGGAAATTGTCATTTTGTGTTGAAAAAGGTTGGGGGTGAAAGGATTCAAGCATATGTGAGAATGATGAACGTTAAAAATACCAAGGCCCTTTATTTGACCCCTTGATGAGCTACTCAGAAAGAAGACGTTGCCATGGCTACTCGACACATATTCATTCCTGGTCATATGTAGAATAGATTTTATTTATTTATTTTTTTGTAATTTGTCAAAAAATAGGATTACAATTCAAATAGTGCAGGAGCGCTTCAGTACTGCAATGTTCAGATAACTGCCAATTAGTAACTTGTTTCCCCACTCAAAAAAAAAAAAAAAAATCCCTTCTGACAAAAATGATACCATCCTTCTTTTCAGCGCATGCTGACTGTGTTCACTGCAGAATGTCAGAGAGTTTCTCCTGATAATACTCATAATTGTCTTTGCAGTCTTCCCACAGGTTAATAGGTTGATCTTCATTCTCCACAAATGTATCCCAGGTATAGGAGAAGTCCAGAGGCTTCATCATCCTGAGCTTACATCCAGCTCTGTGCAGAGCCTTGAGCCCAGCTTGGATCTCTGCCTCCTCAAACTCAAACAGCCGAGCAGCGAAGATGCTCAATTTGATGTTTTTCTTGGTGTTTAACACATCAATTATCTTTGCTGCACACGCAGAGCAGGGACTAGACGACATATACCTGAAAGAAAGGGGGATACCATTTTATTACATTCATTGTCAGCAAAAAAGATGATACAATTCTGTTGCATGCTCTTTTGGAAGCTCTGTAAACACTTTTTTGTTTTGTTTTTGGTGCAGTTGCTGGAGTAGAACTTGGGAAAAAAAATGTCATCCAACCCTGACATAAAAGGTAAGGACCAGTACATTACAAATAATATATTCAATTGTTTTCTGATGTGTCATATTTTGAAAGGACTCTGAATTGGAATTTGTTTTTGTTCATCAGATTGTGCATCAAGGCTTTTTATGAATTCACTTTTGCTAACGTCTATTTTCTTTTGATTGCACTCATAATCCTTGAGAAATTTAAATTACCGGTACACGCTTTGGTATTTTTTGTTGTAGACAACACACCAAGAGGAGATGTCGGGGTGAAAGGTGCACACAAACAGTACTACACTTCTTGAGCTGGGTGGCGCCTTGCTAAAGGGCAACCTCAACCGTAGCCAGAAGGCAGACTCGCATTTGGACATTAATAAAAAAAATAAATAAATAAAAAATAATAAGTCATTTCATTTTTTTTCTCCACATTTTGTCTGCAACGGGGCTTCAACTTTCACGTTCCGATTCACCACATACCATTGATCTGTGTGAGGTGCCACCACCGCACATGGCCTTGAGATTTGAAACGCCGTCTCCTTCATTTAGTCATTGTTACAAGACAGAAAGCCGTGGATGGACTGTGATTGTTCTTTATTTGGTTTTGGTTGGCTCACCTTGTGTGCACTATCTAAGAATGGAATGTCTATCAAAAGTGAATGACTATGTTGTCATGTTGTGTTCTTGTGTATCTCCAGCAGGTGGCAGAGGAGGCCCGCTCCTCCCGGTCGCACACCTGTTGCTCATGTCATCAAGCCAACACACATGATTCAAATGATCAGCTCATCAGCAAGCTCTGCAGAAGCCTGATCACGGCCCTGATCATTTGAATCAGGTGTGTTTCAGCAGGAAGAGATAGAAAACATGCAGGAAAGCGGGTGAAGTTTGAGACCCCTGATTTAAGGAGTTCTCTATCTTAATGTCTCTGTCGGGAACATTTGCCTTGCTCACAGCTCTGTTTCCAAGACACAAATTCTTCTTGAGGTTTCAAACTTTCAGATTCTCTGTTTTCTGATTCCGCCTTTTCGTCTTCGCTTACCTTTGCTAATTGTTTTTGTTGTTATTGTTGGTCACGGGTTTGGTATTGTATGTGTTTTGAATTTTCTTGTCTATTTTCTGACAAGCTATTTCTGTTTATTTTGCTCCTTGCCTTTGCAAGTGTCTTGGGTTCACTAATTATTCTGGTGCTGTACCGGCGGCTTTTGTTGTACTTTGTAAGTTTTGCGACCTGTTTTTTCGGTTATAAATATTTTTGTTCATTCTTTCCGAGTTCACGTTCCTGGAGTCTGATTCTATTCTGTCTGAAAATGTGACATTCATGGAGATAAAGTTAAAGCAAATTCACCAGGTAATTGTGTATTTGAGTGAAGGGTCATAGTCAGACAGGCACTGCGTGAAGAAGGCCTCTTCAGCATGAGGTCCAGTGTGTTCATCCTCCAGACAGCCTCTCTGAATCCCATCAGCTGTGTTCCCTTTATCGACCAGGTAGCACAAGAAGGTCTTATTGCGGCCTGAGGAGTATTCCACATTCTTGAACTGGAACTTGAATGCAAAAGGATCGATCCGATCACTGTGAAATAGAACAAGCAATTCTGAGGTTATATTCACATAACTGTTGGTTACAACAAAATGCTATGATAATATTGGCCTCTGTTGTTTTAGTTACTAAAACTAAATTTTGTCGCGAACCACTTTGGAGTTGCGTCTTCCCTCAGAGGGCCGTTATGACAGTGAAACCACAAAAGTGTTTCATCGTCTCATTGCATTATTACTTTCAAACAACAAATTAATGGATTACGAGTCAAGACGATGAAAATAGTTTATACAATTATTGTTCAAGCGAGTGTAAAGAGGGTAACAAAAAAAAAAAATCTCAGCATTATTCATTGCACGTGACAATTGTGTAATATGACATTACACATATGATTTGGTTTTGCGGGCCACATAAAATGATGTGGTGGGTCGGCTCGGGACCTCGGGCATTGAGTTTGACACTTGTGTTTTAGTAGATGTACTCTTTTTTTTTTTCTTTTTTTTTGCACGAGTAGACTTGGAAAGATCATTTAAAGTGTTTTTAAATCGTATGAGAACAGTCCAGAGTTGAAAATGCGAAATTGTCAATTAGTCACAGCACCAATTGAAAAGTTCTGAGGGAACTTTCACCTGGTTCTTTTATATTTGATGATTGCAATATTATACGAACAGTAACTGCCACAAGACTTTTTAGTTGAAATGTTTAATGACTGCCAGAAAGATTCAGACACTGTCATGGAGCCTCTGTTACATGTGGAAGAGGGTCTAATTTGTCCAAAATAGTTCCTAAAGTTGTCTGTCTGCCTGTCATGGCCACTCCCAAACATTGGAGGCAGCTCTGCCTTGCCCATGTGACAATGTGTCTTGACTGGCTTCAACTAAATATGCATGTGAGGGTGCAAACAGAGGCAGAGCCAGAAAAACATCACAGCGACACAATGGACTAGCTCGGGGGTCGGCAACCCACAGCTCCAGAGCCGCATGCGGCTCTTTAGCTCCGCCTAGTGGCTCCCCGGAGCTTTTTCAAAAATGTTAAAAAATGGAAAAAGATGGGGGAGGGAAATATATTTTTTTGTTTTAATATGGTTTCTGTAGAAGGAAAAACATGACACAAACATTCTCAACGTTTTCCAATGCTGTAAAAATGTGTAGAATAAATATTAAATTTCAACGTTTCTGTCAACGAAGATTTGCGTAATAGCCTGCTACACATGTTTCTATTAGCAGAGCGGGATGCCAGGCGGGTGGCTGTTGCAAAAAAAACAAACAAAAAAAACATACAATTCACTGAGGAAAGAATGAGAATGTGGAGGGCCGAGAGAAGCATTTTAAAACTCAACACGTGAGCTACGACAGTGAACACGCTGCAAAAGTGTGTCCAATGCCTCCGCGTCAGGTCTCGACGAAGGTAGGTTGGCATGTGTTGGTAAGTGTGTGCAGTAACGGGTCGATTGCGGCAGGTTGGTTGATCGAAAAGTAGATCTTCGGTTAAAAAAGGTTGGGCACTCCTGCTCGACAGGATGCAGTGCAGGGGAAAAAGAAACATTGAATCATGAAGGCTCATTGTGTATTTGGAGCCAACGTAGTCATTTTGATCGTAGGCTAATATAGCTCACATAGATAGAGTACATACAGCATGTTTTTCCTTCGTTATAATGCCTTGATATATTTTTTTTATTTTGCAGCTCCAGACAGATTTTTTTTTTTTTTTTGGTCCTATATGGCTCTTTCAACATTTTCGGTTGCCAACCCCAGACACTAGCTCAAGTCAACTATCTACTTATGTGACAAAGAGGCCAAATCAAACAGTGTGAAAGATGGCATGCCCTGCGATTGACTGTCGACCAGCCCGGTGGACCTCAGGTGACAAGAGGAGAGGTGGACCTCTCCTCTTGTCACCAAGTCAACTGTGATACACTCCAACTTATCCATGACCATAATGACGACAAACGGTATGGATGTTTACGAGCCACGTGAATTAGATTGAATGATATTCTACCCTGGGATTACGTTAAAAAAAAAAAGCCACACAGTTACACCTTTTTCTGGCTGCGCAGATTCTCACGTTCATTCAAATATGACAATAATGCACCTTTGTGCCAGGTAGTCACTAGGTGGAAAAATTCAAAATTGTGGGCGTCCCCTGTCAAAACCGGTCATCCGTGAATTCTCCCGTTGACATACGCATTTCCTGTTCCTCATTCCAACGGCTGTTGTAAGTCCAGCGTCCCAGCAACACATAATTTTGCACTTTGGAGTTTTACAATACACCACAACACATTTTGAGACCTTTCCAGAAAGTCATCAAATGTATGTGGAGAGACTTGAGCAGAAAACTAATTTTTTTTATCTGTTCAAAGAGATATTTTAGTCGTGATATATACTGAAAAAGAATATCGGCGCCAGCTGCCTTTTTTACATCTACCTCTGCACAGAGGAGATCCGCTTCAAACATGCCATGCGACAGCCGGCATTAAATGATAAGCCTTTGGACTTTTTTTGAGGAGTGTTGGGTTCATATTATTACAACCACAGTCATAGTAATGGCGCAATGGTATCATGTACAGGTATGTAAATATAATACTTGTTTTTATTTGCTTCTTTGCTGGTTGTCAAAATAGGTCTACATGCCGAAGTGAGTCGCCCAGTTTTTGGCACAAGGAAAGTTGGGCACTGCTGATTTACAGTGACCCTTTTTTTTATAGCTGGACCTTAATAAATAATCACACTGCATTACTATACACACTATTGTTGAAGGTGGGGGGGTTCCCAACAATTCAGCAATACATGTGTGTGTGGGTGTGTGTGTAATGCATGAATAAAGAGAGTCAAACAACTGCTTCAACTGTATGACCTAAAGCTGTGTAATTAGTGTTGACTAACTAGTCCAGAATTAGTGGCTGCAGCAATAACCCACTGTAGCCATCACACAGAGAGAAAGGATAAGGTTAAGAAAACCACACCTGCTCTGTTGAGTGACCTATAAGTAAACAGCTTTCATGTTCGCTCGAGGTTGAAACTTGCTGACATGTTGCAAGCTGCCTGGCGGCGCAGGCAAACTAATTTTACATCAGACTCGAGTTTCAAGGCATTTTCATTGGGTGTGGTTTTGTAGACAGAAAAAGAAAGTCTTTTGTGAGTCGTCATCCTGGATATCAGTTTTACAGGGAAGTAAGCTGACAAGGTGAGCTGTCACCTGATGCTGCTGGTATTCCGATTATTTTATCCTTCCATCCATCTTGTATACTGTTTATCCTTGTCAGGGTCAGGGGAGGAAATGCAGGTTACACCCTGAGTTGGTTGCCAGTCAATCACTGCAGGGTGCATGTCGAGACCATCATTCACTGTCACATTCACACTGTCAGTGAGTGGGAATTGAAGCCACTCCACCACAAGTGACTAATATTATAATTCACGTGACTATTATTATCATGATTGTTATTATTACCATACATTGGGAGCTTCATGCCCCGCCCCCTCAGTAGCTTACTTTCAAAACAGCAGAGAAAGAACTTCACCTAAGATGTAATACTTTAAAGCACATGTGTCAAACTCAAGGCTCGGGGGCCAGCTCTGGCCCACCACATCATTTCATGTGGCCCATGAAAGAAAATCAAACATGATGCTTGCTAAAATCTCGACTAAAATTGAAAATGTTCATATGCAATAAATAAGACATATTGTAAGCATTTTCTTGTCACCAAACCCCTCATTACAGTAACCTAAACAATAGTTGAATAAACCATTATTGTTTATTTTTTTATGTGGTTTCAGTAATAACGGCCCTCCCAGGAAAACGGTAACTATAATGTGGCCCACGACAAAAATGAGTTGGACACCCCTGCTTTAAAGCCTAACCATCAGTCAGAAAATGTTAGGATCGCACTTCATGCCATTCACATCCATCTCATTAAGACTTGCTAACTGTATATGCAATGAGTAAATGCTGATTTTAGTAATGCTGTAATCAGCTTTCGCTTGCACGAAAACCGTTTCTCTCATTTCGACTTACCCTGCAATGATTTCAAATGGAGGTAGTTCCATCGGCTCAACCTCAGGATCTCCATTTTTACCATTAGCTGTTACATCATTGGTGGGCAGCGGCTCAGTTGATGGTCCCCCTCGATTACGTTGAGCATTTTCTCCTTCGTTACTCTCTTCTTTTCCATCCCTGGTGTTTCCACCGGCTTCTTTTTCTTGTCTCTCCTTTCTCCGCAACATACGACTTCTGTCAGCCATGATTTCAGATTAATTAGGGCCTCAAGAATTAATGCAACAACAGATAAAAAAAAAAACAAGCAGCAGCTACACAAATACTAAATGCAGACAGTGAAAAGAAAGCTGTGGAAAGGTGGACGAAGCAAGGGAGAAAAAAAGGAAGTCTGCAGTGCAATGGCTGAACTCAAGACAGAGCTATAGGGAGGAAAAGGAGGGGCACGGGGTGTTGGTCAGGGGTCGGATTTGGGAGGGACAAACTGACGTGTTTGTTGAGATGTGTATTACTTCGGTCGGTAAACATTCAATTAAGAATAATTAAAAAATGATTTATACAACCTACTTTATTGTAGATGTCTTGAAGGGATAAAACCCCAAGTAGTATTGTACTGTATGACTTCCAAATCCAGTTGAGTCTCATTCAGTTGAGTTCTCAGTCATTATTGAATTAAAAGGCGATTCTGCATCCTAAGTGTTGACTTTTGGGACACAAATCAATACCTTCAAATATGCAGATTCGAAACGATATGTGTAGTAGCTTTCGTCTAAAAATATCCTTGCCCTTTAAAGGTCCCGAGGGTTCAAACACCGGTAGAGACACTCAAGCAGCTGCAGCTTACCGAGCAAGCACGTCTATTAAAAGACTTGAAGATGAGAGAACCAGCCCGCTGTCTATAACGAGAGCATGTCATGTAAGGACCATAGGACGTTTGTGGCTGTTTCGACTTCCTTTTAAAGCGCGTCTCTAAATGGCCGCATGTTGATTACATGGAGGGTTTTGGAGAGAAAAGAATGTTAAGACAGCATTATTAAAAGAGTAAGCAAATGGCCCCAAGACACAACTTCTTAAAACAGCATGTCAAAACTTGTCAGATGACCCCTTAATTAATATTAGAAACTCCATCAGTGAGTTGGTTGCTTGCAGCTTTCTGAAACAACAAGATCTTATTATTATTATTTTCTCTTGGAAACGACAAAACACAAGGTGTAATGTGATTTTGGTCGATTTGATCGAGACGCAGGCAGACAGAATCGGAGCCCTGCGGATGTGTGTGGTGGATGTCATCGTATTTGATTCATAAATATGACAGCAGCGTCAATCAATCCCTCTGAATCATTGTACAAATGCATACCTGTCAACTCATACGGTTTAGCCATAGTTCATACGGATTTTGTGTTGAATCTTACGTATATGGCCATATCGCACAAATCATACGGATTCTGAAAATTTTTATTTTTGTTTTCCCCTAACAGGTAGTTCCGTTTGCTTTTGCCCAGAATGGTGCTAGTCTACTCGGTAACTTTCCAGTAAATCACGTGGTTCCTAGTTGAAAACAGCAGAGTATTCATTGCATACTTCGGTAGTGTACAAGCAAGTTCTACAAGGAAACAAATATGTCATTCATAGTTCGTGGGTTTTTTTCTGCCGTTATTTTGACATATAAAATGCTTTGGTATGTTATAAGGATTTTTTGCTCTTTATAAGGATTTTTTTGGTAGTTTATACAGGTTGGCGCTCTGAAAAGTTGACAGGTATGCAAATGAATTTATGAAACTACCGTAATTACAGTGGCGGGCCGTGCATTTCAACCTTA